GCAAGTAAATTCTTAGCAGTAGAAGTTGGTGCTGGCTTCTGATCTTGCGATGATTCCTGTTTCTCGAAAACTTCCTTAAAAAACCGACTGTAAGCCAGGTAAACATCCGCTGCTTACATCAGCACGATATCTGAAAGCGCCTTTAGCAATTAGTTCTAGACTGTGACAGCGAAACGCAGCCCACAACGTATTTACCACTGTTGCAAGGGATAAGAGATCTTGGAAGGACAATTTATAGAGATGAAAAATACGGCGCTTGATCTGTGTCAGCAAGATACATGTCTGCTAGCAAGTGACTGATACGTTCACTATCCAGCAAAACTTCCGCATGTCGAAAAATCTTTGGCAATTCTGCAAACTGGGCCCTCAGTTCTGTCGGAATTACGATTTCTAAAAATTAATGAGGAAAGTACGACAACGAACAAATCTTAGCTTCGACAATAGGACTGCGACGTAATTTATTGCAGAAGTGAAGCTATGCAAAGGTTTACGTTTGTTGCCAGTAGTTACTGTTCTGTTCGTCGAAAGGCGCTTAAATTGTTTGGATTTTTCAAAAGAATTAGCACGTTTGAAGCAGTGTATAATCAGAAATCAAGGGGAATATCAACTAACTGGCAGATATGCAGGATTTGCTATTAGAGAAGATGAATGGGACAAGCTTTCCGCATTCAACAAATTTCCAGCGTTTGGATCACCACGTGAAGTCCAGTGCACTGCATGTTCTGCAATCGATTCTTCAGTCGTGCGTTTGTGTTCTCAGCTGGGTTCATCGTCACCCTGCCAACAGCGAGGCCTGCCGCGAAACGCACGGGCAAAGGATAGCCTGAAGTGAGAAGTCGTAGCTTCGTCCATAAAGAAACGATAATAAAGCAGTGGACACGAAGTAGTTACATGTCTGACAAGATTCGTGGCACAACGTTTCTTATGAACTCGGTGAAGCCATTGCACAACGTTTCCCAGTAGTCGCTTTTGCGCTGTATGCACTCCTAAAATGTCCTCT